TGTTTTTGATCCGCATACATAAACCATCCCTTCTCCTTTCAACTAGCAAGTCTCTGGTCAAGTTCTCTTTTACTTATTCGATCATCGTCTCCGATCAACCATCTGCTTATAGACATATACCGTATAAAACCACTTTCTTGCTCTCTTTAGATTATCGTCCGTCGCCAATCTTCTCCTTTCGAACTACATAAACAACCCTCTTCCTCTCTTGACGATCGTCAATGATCTTCTTTTATGCCATGTAAACCACCCTCATCGAAATCGAATCTCAATGGCCACGGGTATTGGCAATAAATTACCAACTTCTTCAGAGACGTCCACCATCAACTTATCGAACGATCGTAATCCCGCATCTGAAATCGCTCGACGGGAACGTATTCGACTAATTGATTTCGATTCACCACTCTGGATAGATTATTCACGGATTCCGGAATCACGTTATCGAGGAAATGGGGAGCGCAATTGGACGAACAGATACGGAGAAATCGAGTAAAAGAGGAATCGAAAGAATAATTTGTTATCGGAAGGAAAGATGGTGGATGAAGAATTTCACACCTGTTGAATTTCGTTTTTTAGCGGTAAATCGGGATATCCCACTCTTGGAACGATTGATAAATTATTCGCCGTGAAAAGAGGAGAGACGCGCGCATAATTTATCCGATGGATCGAGCGGCGTCGATCGAGCGGACACTTCACCAGGTTCGCCCGATAAGGCGGATATAACGCGTGGAAGGTTAATCGGTTAAATGGTGAACGGTTTTTCCGATATTTCATATTTATGGACCTAGACTGGCGCGAAATCGCCGTTCTATTATTCTGCCTTATCGCTCTATAAAGAAATGTAATTTTTTTTTTTTTTTATTAAATACGCGCCATATAATAATTGGAGCGTTGTGCGTTCGAGAGTAGCTATCTGTGAAGATTGAAAAATATATACGTTTAATTCGAAATATTATTTATGAAATTCTAGAGAAGCTCTAGATGTTGGAAAATATTTGAAAAGATTTTAAGAGATATAACTAACTATAATATATATTTAATAATCGTGACAGTTATTATTAGTATAGTTAAAAATATTTGAAATTGTGAACATATGTAGAATACATATTGTCATGCTAATAAAATTCATTCAAACTATTCTATTCTAATTAAAAGTTCATAAACCTAACCTCTATTTCTAGTACCGAACAAAAATATATATATTTATACCGTACATTTATATGAACAAGCAATTTATTAACTCAAAAAATTAATAACTTTCTGTGCTTAATTTTTTTCTCCAAGTGCCAAGTTTTTTTCTCCAAGTACACACGAGACAGAATGTAAGAATTTCTTTTTGAAAATTCTTAAAAAACATTCGACCAAGGAGACAATGAATAATTGTCGAAACGAAACGAAAATATATCGTGGAGGGGAAAGCCTACCGTAATTTATGGGTGGCTCGTTTCGTGAACGCGAAATCGTAAAAGAAACCTGGTGTTGACGCGTCAGCGTGTTCGATGTGTGTTCGGTTGCATAAGCACGCGAACGGTTATGTTCATGCATTTTGCATCGCATCCCTATCTCGTAACGCACAGTTCGTCGCGTCTACGAAATTCTAATCGTTCTTACCGACCGAGAACGCGCTCGTGCGTTGTGTGTGCGCGCGCAGGCAGGGACAACGAAATATAACGATGCATTTTGCAATTGCCTTGCGACGCGGAAACCAACCCACCCATGGAGGGGAGCGGAGAAAAGAAAACCAGCGCGCGAGTTCGCCTTGTTAACTCCGTTTGCGTCGTGGGCACGTAACGGATTTGCTGTTTCCAGCCGGTGTCTAATTCTTGGAAAAGGAATGCGGAATTTATAATGTCACCAATGTGGCGATGTCGACAACAAGAAATCGCTACAATAATTGAGTAATTAAACATACCAGGGCTACATATGCGTCGGTTGGATAAAAAGTTCGTCGAAGCGTAACTGTCATTTATTAAAAAATGGATAGAATATCTTACTGATAGAAGATGTTACGTGGATCATCTCGTAATGAATCTTGCAATTCCAATAATTTTAGTTGCCAACAATGATAGAAAGTTTTTGGAATTCTTTTTTATATAAAAAAAAGTAGATAGAAAATGATAGATAGCAACAAAAGAATAGTTATATATTGAGAAATAAAGAAATTGCATTCATTTAATTAATTAACATTTAAATTTAATAAAAAACGTAGATTTTTATTCTCGAAGTCAATATAATAGAAAAAATATATTAATTAAAATTCTGATAGAAAGAAAATAATTGGTATATTTGTTTTTTATTAATATTTTAATAATTTTAATAATTTAATAATAAGATAAAAGAGAAAGAAATATTGATGACGAGCACGTGTATTATCATATATATATTTATATATTATATATCATTATATGTATTATATATAATTTATTTCAAGACATGTTTTAATGAAAAAGAAAAATGATGCTATGAAATACAGATTGAACAAACAGAATTGTTCTTCGACAAAATTGTTTTTTCATTCAAAAAAAATATGTGTGCCATATATCAAACAAAGTGCAATATTTATCAAATTCATTTCTCCGAGAAACAAGAAAAAATATGTTTTTTCGATTTCGAATTATCCTGTTTTCATGACATCTTTATGAACCATACTATGTATATAAAACGCAAATTAGGTCGCGCGTGTTATAGACGCGCCATCCATCAACTTTTTACAAGTTTCTCTTTGTAATGGTGCATTTATTTTCTATTCTACTTGATAATATTTATCAAGTAGTTCAAAACCAAAACCTTCGCATATGTTATCAAGAGAAAAAATTTGTGTAGTGTTAAACTTTAAAATGATAAAACTGGTCAGTGATAGCCATGAAAAAAAACGATTCGCCAAAAATCGCCATTTGGCTCAATTAATCGGTCGACAAGAGCATGGTTGCCGGTTCACAACAGGTAGACAACGTCATGATAAAGTTACTAGACAGACCACGCCGTGAAATTCGGCAACGTTGCCAACTGGTTCACTTTCTCTCGGCCGGCGAACTCGCGCAGACCATTCTGGCTCCCTTCTTATGACGCGTGTGTTCTCTTGCACATGCACACAAACATAATCCAAACACGAATATGTGTCCAGCAGGCGCGAGCGTCCACGTTCTCTCACACATTTCAATGTGTGGGCGTATACGTGCATGCCCGTCGACTCAACACATTTAAGTTAGATCGTGACAAACCGATCTATAAAGATCCGGGTGAGAAACAGCGGATTTAAAAAATTAGCAGTTCGAAATGGCGATCAAATATATTCCGATTGATTTTCTTGAATTTTTATAAGAAACATAATTTACGAACCTGTATCAGCGTTGTTGAATACTCTGACTTTTCGAGACACGATTATTTCTTCTTTCATTTTCATTCTCCTTCGTCTTCCAAATTCTCTTTCGTCTTTTTCAAATGGACAACGATAGGTCGAATAGATAATTCTTAATAGAAGTAAATAATTCTAACAAAACGTCACTTTACAACGTACGTTGCTACCATGAAATCTTGATTTTACGATCGTCAGGTTAGATATGTACGCGCATGCGCGTTTCAATGCTTTGCATTAATTGGTTGCGCGTCAAATCGTCACTTGATCTGCGACGAATCACTACATGTATATAATTTAAATTTATGTTAATATAGCTATCGACACGGACGATATAACGATATATTCGATATTATCATTTTCAATTGATGAAAATTCTGTAATATTTTATTGAATAAATCGAGCAACAAATCATTTGCATTGAAAATAATTTAGAAACTTACTAGTGTAAAATGCACTAAATTTTCTTGTGACGACAACGCCACCTAACGTTGCTCATGTTCAGTACCGTGTTTGGCAAACAGAACGTTGATGATCCACGGTAAATATTTATTCTATTCGATAACGAAAAGCGATCAATCTTTCAACGAACAACCGGACTACTTCAAGCTAGTCACCGTCTATGTCACTGTCTATTATGGAGATAATGATTTTGATAAGAGAGATACTATTAATGGTTATGCTTTTAAATGAATTATATCTATATGATATCGATTCACACGCTTTCCCGAGAATTTCCGCACGAAGTTGAAATATATGGTAGCATAGTTATTAATATATCGTTTATCTTAACTAGATAACACTGCATATTTTAGATAAACCGATATATTTATCTTCGTGATCTTTTTAACGATCCGCTATTATCATGATATTTTTTTCAAAGAACGAAATATATATACGAATGAATAAAAAATTTTTATAAATTCAGTTACTTATTTAAGCATTATTTTCGAACATTGATAAAGTTAATATTTAAATTGATTTTTCCCATAACTTAAAAGTACATTCTAATTTTATAAAAACTCGATAATGCTATTTGTTAATTTCAAGATGTATGAAATCAGCGTAGCATTTCGAGGAACGAGGAATATGCAAAGCATGCATCGAGGAAACTACTTTTACTCATGCATGTGTATCCACGTTGAAGCTCCCGGGAGAATTTTAATCCGCATCGTATCAAACCCGAGTGAACACGTTTATTTTCATACATGTTCAGCGTTTTTTCTCCCGCTGGTAGAAACTCTTGTTCCTTGAATCGCCGTATGAAGTTCATTGAATAGTACATTTAACGTGAATTTGACGTGAACTTACAAGATCCGGGATGCCAGTGGTGCCGCAATCAGAGCGATTAGGTGTGGCTACGATAAGCGCACAAATGTTCTGCGGTCGTTGCTTCAATCTATGATAAATTATTTTTATATTTGATCCCTCAGGCGAAAGTTGATCACTATTATATTCTTTGAAACTTGGATCGATCGACAATGGTTTTCTTATAACGAATCTCCATAGATTCTCTAAAGGATATATATAAATATATAGGCAGAGATATAGAGACAGGAAAACTAAAGAAGCTGATTATCATTTATCGTCACTTTCAATGCTCAATTCGCTCAATCAATCAAGTGTAAAAGAGAGGAGAAGATAAAATTTGAATACATTGGAAATTTTACATATTTGAATGATTTCTTAATAATTATGGATGGAATAAAAAATAAATCGTATTTCGAAAATTTGTTATATTTGAAACTCTTTCATGGAATGTACATAACAATTGAAATCATTTGATATTTTAATGAATTTTTTTTATTACTTTCCAGAATCGACATTTTTAAATCGTATTTTAATGAGTCCTTTCGTATATTTTTCAATACATAAAATTTTACATAAATTATAAAATAATAGGTTTTTTGCAATTTAAATGGCACTATATGATAGTTGACAAACATGCCGCGTTCCGATAAACTCTCCCATTCGTAATAAACCATGAAGCAATCTTAAAATTCAATTAACGACCACGCATGAAACTAAATGTCAAACGGCCTCGTTCGATTTTCCGGGGGAAATAAAAAAAAAAAAAAATTGCGCCAGCACAGTTCGATTAATCGGCTTCGATCGATTTCCAGGTCAAACGAAATGCACGAGCGAAAGGATTGTCCCTCCTTCTGGCTCTAGGCGCATTGCGACCATCAGTATGCAACGAGGTATATTTTCGTTCGAGGAATACGAAATGTTATTAAGACTGCCGACTGTTAAATTAAATTACACGTCTCAAGAATAATTTCGTAAATGCCGTGTTATAATTTAATTTCGTTAAATTCGATTTTAGGATATAATGTTAAAAAAAAAAAAAAAAAAGAAAGAAAAATAAATAAATAAAATAAAATAACAAATATATTACATTAATTGGACAGGTTGTTTTATGAACTTGACTAATTCTATTTTCCACTTTCTTTTTAAATGTAAATTGTTTTTCACACACATTTGTGCTTTTAGTAGATACACGTATACTTGTAGAAACCTGCCGCAGAACAAAGTGAAGAGGAAAGGGAAAACGAAAGCATCGAAACTGGAAAGTGGAAGTACATCTACCTTAACGAAGCTCATTGTTCTCGACCTTCGGTGAAATCCGTAATGCTTCTCTCACACGTCTTACTACTTAATTATTGATTTCAAACTCTATCTATTGACCATTAAAAAAAAAAAAAAGAAACAAGGAAAAGATATTTTAGAAATTAATAATTAAACGCATATATATATATATTATTATTTTTTCAAAAAAGATGATCAAAAGTTTAATTTTCAAATTTGATATTGTAATATTTCATAAAAAAAAATTATTACACAAGTAGATGATAAAATTGTTTCATGAAAATCCATCGAGTTAATATAAAAGCAATTGAAGCAAAGAATCGTGAAACCTTACAAACTTAGTAAAAATAGCCTGGACCTCGTAAATCTTTCAAGTTAGCATGCTTGAATTGGCCTACCTACGTTACCTTATGAAACTGTTAATACGCGTAATGGGCAGTGTCTACTTGGCAAGCCTCCATGCGAACCTCCATGCAAGCTTTCCATGCAAACTTCCGACTTCACTTGAACAGCCCAAAAGACCTACCGGTGAAGTCTCGAGAACAATGCGAGTCTTTCTTTGTCTCGTTCCAAGGTTTTACGAGATTCTTGAATTCTTACGAATTTTAGAATACTTTGCACAGTTGGAATGAATTTCAAAAGAATTGGAAAAAATCCAAGAAACCAAGTATGTTCGGTGTTTATAGATAGATTTTATTCACGAAAATAAGTATTTAATGTCTGACAAATTCGGTTATTATTATATTGGAATAGATCTTGATTAAATTATACACATTTGTTATTCAGTTTTCAGTTTTAGATTCACTTATTGTGCGATTATAATCATATTGAATTTGTAATTCAAATTGATTATAATATAAATATAATAAAATATAATAAAATTATAATATTGATTATAATAATATTGTTGCGTTATAAAGATCCTCTCCACAATTTTGTAATCTATAAATCGAAGTTGACATTACGATTGTATAATGTAATTTGAAATTTGTTCTGTTTATTTCATAATATAGAATTTTCATGAAATTTCATGTTTATACACGGTGATCTATGATCATTTGCAATTTTATTCATTACACATAATATCCTGGGATTTATTTGTTTATGATGCTTGTTTGATTTATCATCGATGCACATTTACGAATAAATTAACCGAAATATTCTCTCTAATTTGCATAGTACAATTTGCCTAGTATTAAATCCTATTTATCATGTTACACAGATAATTAATATACAGACAAGAAAGGAAAATATATTCATTAAAAAAAAAAAAAGTGAAAAAAGAAAAGAACAGTCGTAGAATCAAAACTATTAAGAACATTCGAACATCGAAATCCGAGAAAAGATAATTGGAATTTAATGTTTTCAAGATTTGGAAATATTAATTTATGATTTCAAAATTCTTCGAAATTACGCCTCTTATGATTCCAAGCTCTTTAAAATTGAACGCTCTCCAAGATTCTTTACCAATTTTCCCAATATTTTCAGCAACCAATTACGAGTTAAAACGAGTTAAATATTTTTAATCACAGCACGAAAATCTTCAGAATTTTTCAATCTATTAAAATCTTTCTTTTCTAAATTCATCTTAAAAAGGATAGGAGAAGAAAAAAAAAACCGAACAACCATGAATCCATTATTCTTGCATTAGCATCTCCAGAATAGTCGACGAATAGTCTCCAGAGTAGTTTACGAAAACGAGATGGAAAGAGAGCTCCGTCTCTTTCTCACTTCATTCCTGTATCGTTTCATCTTTGACTTAAATTGCTTAAACAATTTAATAAATATCATCGACCGACATTCTCGGTATATACCAACAACTTCTGCATCTGCATTTTCACCCCTAAAATCGATCCTTGAAAATATGTTAACGAGCCGACCCTCACGAATATATTAACATTTTCTATACATTTTCTATACAAGAGCGTCTCGTTTTTCCAAGTCGAGTATCTCTTGGATGCCCCCCTCGTCTCGACTCTGTTAAACCATAAGCCGGATGAAGGGCCTCTATCAACAACGCGGGTTCAACGCGATCGTTCGTATTCCCAAAGGTCTGGATCGATGTTTGCGCGTGTCTGTTTACGTGGCGGGAGCGGCATCATCTACCTTACACGGGTGTATTATTCCACCTTGGCTCCGACAATTCACGCAGGGTGGTACTTGGTAGTGAGCCTCTTTACAGACGTCATGTGCAGCTCTCACTCGCGCTCTGTCCCTCTTTCTTCAAGGGACGACGCCCTATCTCGAGCGATGGATCAAGAAATCCCCTTTGAGAGGAAAATCATCACAGAGAGTCCCTCGTCTCTCTTCGTATTCATCGATCTGCGTTCGTTTAATAATTCGTCGACCAGTGATTCTGGTCGATTGTTATTCGAACGATTACGTGGATTGATCGTTGGTTTGTGATTTGTCGTCGATACTGTGAACGAGAATTTTTTTCGAAATTCAAAATTCGAATATATTGATTTCTCATAAAATTTCGTAAGATTTCTCTGATGTTTCTCTTCTTGTGCACGTTTCAAAAGACGTGTTGCAGGGTTAGCAAACAGGATTGATTTATACGCACAATAAGCGTGCAATCCACGTTCACGTGTAACTATTTTGGTGAAGGACGTGCGAGTGTTAATAAGCTTAGAAATCCGGCTAGAATTTCGAATTTGGAATTTATTTCATTGCGAAGAATTATATAAAATAACGTCAAATTCTCAGAAAATTTCGTGATATGTACGCACGTAATTGTCACCAGTCTCTTTTTCCTTTCAGATTAATCGATATTATTCTATCCTTCAAATAAATTTTTCCAGAATCATTATTCTCCTCTTATATAAACGAAATTATTACAGATAAAAGGAATAATTAATGAATTAATAATACGAATTATAATTACGTTACGTTAATTGTTTATATATCGAATTCAGAAATGGAAATGACGCGCACATGTTAACTTAACACCACCATTAACTTTATTTCTCATTAGCGAATTAATGTTTAACGAATATGAAGTAAAAAAAATAACTCACTCAAAAAACATCATTCGAATATATCTGTAAAATAATTAAATCTGAGAACGATAGTATATAGGACTATATAACATCATGATTGTTCGTAATACTAAAAATACAATCATATGAAATGACGTTTTAAATACCTCGTATATACGCATAACACATAGAACATTTGCATATAGTTTACTTCCATGATGAATGACTTTCAAAATCAGACTTGCTAAACAGTTAATTAACACATCGGCATTGCACTAAGATCTTTTTCAAGGTCTCGAACAAGTCGGTCTTTAGGATTCCAGAAACATCGGGATATTTTCGCGGTTTGTCGTGGGTCGAGAACAGACATAGTCTAGGTCATATTTCGCCCACGTCTAATCGATGAATCACACACGTGGACACATAATAATGCATCTCGTTCCTCTGACCCACGCGAATTCATCAAGCTTGAATTTCCGACCGACAAATTCCGATCAACTACGCGCACAACGCTTATTTTTTTTCCTTCCTCCATTTCCTTCCTCTCTCTCTCTCTCTTTTTTTTTTTTTTTTTTTTTTTTT